CCCCAGCCACTTCCAGCTTCCAGAGAAACCTGGGGCAGCTCTGCCCTGGGACAGAACCTCCCAGCCCTATTAAACTGCACGTGTCACAGCCCGTCTCACGCTTCCCCACGTTCCCCCAGGTCAGCCGGTTTCGCGGCCTTGACGCGTTTGCCTTCGCTCGGACGCGGGACAAACCCACACCCCCCGTTTCGTTCCTCCTGCACAGGGCACCCACTGAAGCGTCGCAGCATATGTGCCTCCTAATTCCTGAAAGAGGTGCTTTTTGGGGGAGAGAGGGGTGTTGATGGTTTGTTTTGGGGGTGTTTCTAATGCAAGCCTGCCTGAGCTGTCCCCTCGCTAACACACCGCCCGCTGGACCACACTCAGTTGGCGTGAAGCAGCGTCACTGCCACCCAGTTTACTACACCCCCCGCCCAGAACCTGCCCCCTGGAGAGGGCTGAGCCAACGTGCCACTGGACGCATCCGGGCACGCGGGGCTGAGGGCTCCAATCGTTCTCGCTAGTAATGCCTTGAGACATCTGTGGCCAGCAGGTCAAGGGAAGTGATTCTGCCCCTGTGCTCTGCTCTGGTGAGACCCCACCTGGAGTGCTGCGTCCAGCTGTGGAGCCCCAACATCAGAAGGATATTGACCACTTGGAGCGAGTCCAGAGGAGGCCACGAAGATGCTCCGAGGACTGGAGCCCCTCTGCCATGGGGACAGGCTGAGAGAGTTGGGCTTGTTCAGCCTGGAGAAGGGAAGGCTCCGGGGAGACCTTATAGCACCTTCCAGTGCCTGAAGGGGCTACAAGGAAGCTGGGGGGGACTTTTTACAAGGGCCTGTAGTGACAGGAACAGGGGTAACGGGTTTAAATTGAAAGTGGGGAGGTTTAGATTGGATACCAGGAAGAAGTTCTTCACGGAGAGGGTGGGGAGGCACTGGAACAGGTTGCCCAGAGAAGCTGTGGATGCCCCATCCCTGGAAGTGTCCAAGGCCAGGCTGGTTGAGGCTTGGAGCAACCTGGTCTAGTGGAAGGTGTCCCTGCCCATGGCAGGGGGGTTGGAACTGGATGATCTTTAAGGTCCCTTCCAACCCAAACCATTCTATGATCCTATGATCTATGATCTTTAAGGTCCCTTCAAACCCAAACCATTCTGTCATTCTAAGTTTAAACACAGGATCGTCACGGAGAACGCTGATGAACTACTGCTTGAGCAGCGCATGCCCAGGAGTGAACGTAACCAGGCCCGGGGCCCTAGGGCAGGCTGCTCCCTCAGCTATCCCGATAACACCCACGCAACAAACATGCCAAGCGGATCCCAACCTCCAGGGAATTTGTCAGATAGACGATGTTCTCCATGAGCACCGCACGCTCGTCAAACTCCAGTTCCAGATCCAGAACACGTGAACCATTCTTCTCCAGATTTTCCTGCCAGAGGTAAAAAAGCAAAAAGGCTCAAAACCCTGTAAACGCTGCCAGTAAAGCGACGCTTCACAATGGCAAAGCGCGCACATCGGTCAGGCAGCAAACAGGCTGCTGCACTCGAGAGCTCCATGCTGGCACAAGACACCGGCACAGGAGCAACAACCACCCTGGAACAGGGTTCCTTCTGCAGGGAGCTGGGGACACCAATGGGAGCAGTAAGAGCAACTAGAACCTGGTTTTAATACAGAATGGAGAAGGTGCTTGGCACCCACGGTTATTTATAACCCCTGCCCAATGCGCAGGTTGGGAATTCACGCGGCACGTCAGCGTTGCAGAGGTCTGTCGCAGCAGGAACCCAGCCCTGTGACCCAGCTTAGGGGAAAGGACAAGCGTGCCACAGCTGACACGCTCAGCGCAGCTGTGAAACAAGTCCTCGGCAGGGAAATAACAGCTCCTCTACACGCTACCAAAAAAGTTGCCTCATTAGTCCAGAAAGCCAGCAGCAACACTCACAGGAGACAAAGTATAAAGGGCACTATAAAAAACACGTGGTTTTTTTTAACCAAAACAGAACTTCCTCTCGGGGATGGAACCTGCCCCCTCCTGGCGCTCTCAGGCAGAGCCAGCTGCCTCCTCTGAAGCTCTGCCTTGGGTTCAGCACGGTTGTGCCTTCCTGGCTTCCTTGTCAGCTGAACAGGCAAGATTCCCTCTGTCAACACCAAATTGCTTCCCTTCATAAATCACAAACCTCACGTTTCTGCACCTCCATTTGCGCCATGCAGCGCTTACAAGCAAAGACATTCTTACACACAACTTAAAAATGAGGCTCAAGTTTAAGGAGAAAGAGCAGCATTTTTAGAAGGATTCTTTCCACTACTAATCCCTCTCAACTTCTACAGGCGAGCAGAAGTCAAAAAGGTTTTAAATCCTACTTCTTTATTTAAACTCTCACTTGTTCTTTGCTCCCTGAACCTTGCTAGTCGCTGTACTGAGTTTTCACCTGCAGCAGCAAGCACAAAAAGGTGTCTTTAAAACAGGGCCAGCCACGATTTTCACAGGCTTGCACGACAGGAAAATAATAATGAAATATCAGAATATTAGTGAGAAAAAGATAAGAATGATACAAAAAAATTCATAATTCCATTCAGGGCTCAGAACAGTCCCTTTTCCCTCCCTCAACTGCTGAGCAATGCGTTCTCTCCAGCCTTGCTGTGAGCTTCCACACGGTGAATGCTTCCAGAGCAACACCTGACCCTCACTCCAGCAGGAAGGCCCGGAAACGCCAGACGATGCATTTCGAACGCAGAGGAACCCGCCGGCAGCTGAAGCACAGACTGTAACACCTGCAACGTGCACAGACTACCAAGCCCAGGCTGGGCCTGGGCCCAGGATTCACCCGGGCCAGTCGCAGAGTGACCTCGTCACCTCTTGCCTCCAGAGATGCCAGAGACGCTTATGAACAAAAAGATGAAGATGCCAAATGAGCGAGGGGCAGGACAAAGACTGAACTCCAAAGTTAGCATGAGGTTCAGGGAGGACGTAAAGGGAACAATAGCAGCCAAGCACGAAGTTACAGACTGTCACTGCCTTTGTCCCACGTGCTTCAGCCACGAAAGCTTTTTCTACACCAGAACTCTCCTCAAAACTTACCTTAATCATGGCAACAAAAGGCATAACCTTCTTCATATACTTCTTCAGCTCCGGCAAGGCGTTCAGCTCACTGGCAATTACTTTGTTATCTGGGAGCTGACCTCCACTGACCTAAACATTGAGGAACAGCCATTAAAAACCACAGGTATCGGTAAGAAACACTTGTTTGGGTTTCACATCCAAAATCTAGGTATTTGCAACAACCCTATTTAGTGCATCAGACCAAGCAGCAGATTTTAACACTGATGCAGAAGAAAGCCCGTAGAATGCCCCAAGTTTACACCCCAAAACCAGATGTCACACAAGGATTACGGGTTTATCTCAATGTAGCAAGCTGGAGAAGTCGTCACTCTCCAATCCATCAGCTGCAATCCAGATTTGTTCGAGCTGAGGACGGTTCATCCAGGCACCAAAATCTTGCCCTGTCAGAAGCACAGGTTCTTCCACTTGCAGAAAAGCCTATTCCTTCCGCTTACTACTGACGTCCTCGATTTCAACACACTCCTTGTAACATCACTGAACGGTACCACCTGTCCCAGGGCCAGAGCACCACTTCCAAGCTCACGTGCAGAGTAAGGCCACATTCATCTGTCACCCAACAGTGGTGCCTCAGAAATGCGCTTGGGAAGAAGATTCTGAAAGCTATGGACTTACAAATGGGAAAAGCAGCATCCCATGGTCTGCTTTTTACTCCAACTGTCAAAAACCAATACAACTGTGCTGTCAAATCAATGGCATTCCTTGGGACATTTTCACTAAGCACCAAAATTCATTGGACAGTTGCAAAACCAAAGAAAATTCAACTATCTTATTCTATATTTAAATAACTTGCTAAGACCTTACAGCTTATAAGCTTTTTACAGAGAGAAAAAAGCAGGTAAGCAGCCCAAGGAGACAGGAAGGGATGCCAACCTGGTAGTGCTTGCGCAGAACCGACAAGGTGGTGTGCTGCCAAGGCGGGTAGCTCTTCGCCACGTAGATGGTGCAGTGGGAAGGCTTCTGGGAAGGTTCTTTACTACTTTTCTAAGGAAACAAAGAAAAAAAAAATTTAGAAAGGAGTCCTGAGGCAATAGGGAATGATCAAATATGCGTGCTTAGCGAGATGCCCAGGTACACGTCACCTTTCCTTTCACAGGGGCCATGTAGCTCTTGAGACGCAGCCGGAGGTCATGAGCTGCTTCCATGAGGTACTGAGAGGAGCGAATCAACACCTCATCCACGGGACCTGCTGTCGGCCAGGAGGCTCTCATGAGCGAGTCAGGCTTTGAAGAAAGGAAGAAGTGACACGCACAGAGATGAACACACATCCGTACCTGGCGGGTTTTCAACCCATTGCACCTTGACTGGAAACTGGAGTTTAGACAGATTTACCCCAGTGAGCACGAGCTATGACTAAGTTGTAAAGGAGTAAGTACACAGCCCACAGGCATCTATTTGCAAGTGCGTTAAGGATTACACATACAGTGACACTTGCCATGTAGCTACGTAACTTCATCTACGAGCACAAGCAATTAAGAAGCCCCTACGTTTCACACAGAAGCGTGGGAATATTGCATTATCTGGGGTAAGTTCAGCTCTGTGAGTACACAACCAAGGTGACTTGTATGAAGTTGCACTTGTCATCACAGTAAGAGGCCACCTCTGTATGTTCTCTGTCCCATGGACAATAAGCTATTACGGCTCCACGTAAGACACAGGTTTCTTCTACCTGCATACGACAGGCATCCACAGAGCCCGGCTGAAAACCAGGGGAAGCTTAGGCCTGAAGGAGATGACAGAACTGAAATGTGAGTACCTTTCCCAGCAGTGCCCAGATGTGCTCACATAAGTGGGGACAGATAGGAGCCAACAGCAGAGTCTGAACCTCGATAAACCGAAACACCAGCTCTCTGTGCATCCCTTCTATCGCCAGCTCACGGTATTTATCCTTTGCTGCCTGAAACACAGACAACGCAACCGTCACCAATGCGCTCAACTGTTCCCGAGAAACACAGACGAAGACACACACGATGCTCCGCCCTAACGCGCCGTCAGAAAGCAAGCAGCTTAGAACTCAAGAGCGGGTTATTTCCGGAACTCTATGTTCCTGCAGCCCCTGAGTGCGAGCCTGGCGGTGGCCACTTGCTTTCTGCATTAATGCAGCACTTTTAAAACTGTTATTGGCAGAGACATAAAAGACAAAAGCCTCCACAGCTGTGAATTGGGCACTAGCACCCCAAGTAGCCTGCGTCAGATAGTAACAAGCACTGAGAAGGCAGCAATGAGCCCAATCTATCGTTATACATATAACTCAGCCTACGTAATCATACTCCTGAATATCACAAAAGGAGCCACATCAAGGAGTCCGTAATGCATGAAGTGAAGAGGCATGGCTCAGCAGACACTCCGGAGACACGGTTTACGGAGTATGTGAGAAAGCACCCTGCTTCCAAACGTTTCTGTTGATGTAGTATCTGGATTTCTAGGAGTTCCTCCTCATTACAAAGGAGCTGAAGAAAGGCAACACTCCTTTCAGCAGGGTCCTTTTTTAAGCAGCTTTTTGCTCGGGTGTCAGGACTGTCTGCAGCAGCACAGTCGTCTTCCCCTGGACATTCGTAGAAATGACCCAAGCAGACCTTTCTAATTTCCCATTTGTGCCATTAAAGGACTCTGGTTTCTTGGCACAACACTGATTCCAATTAGGCTGTATAATTAAGGATCAGAGACATCAGGATCAAAAGAAATCCGCAAAGTACCAAATAGCAAGCGTTAGTTTCTTACACCTAAAAAAGCAATTCCTCCTACCTGAAACTCAAAGAAGCCAGTTTTCAGAGCTTCCTTAAACATCATCTTCTCATAATTTTGGTCTGTCTTCATTATACCCGCACTCATTTCACTAAGGAGGGAGGGGAAGTGAGAACATCAACACCGCGTTGTCTGCCCCACGTAACGGCAACACCACAAAGCACCACTATCAGTGTCCCCAGTGCAGCACCATCACAAAACCTGTTCTGCAATGTGTGCTGGTTTAGGGAATTCACTCATTTGTAAAAGTAACTACAGAGATGCTCCTTGCAAGAAGAGAACTGGCCCAAACTCCACTACTGGCCTTTGTACAGTACCTGGCGAAGACTCTGTCATTGAAGGTGTCGGCAGGACCACTTCTCAGACTGTCTCTGTTTGCAATCATCTCCTTCACCCACTCCACCCATGTGTAGAGTCGAAGAATACCAGCATCTGCCATGGCTTCCACAAAGTTGGCATCCTCGACAGTGTCTCCAGCATCAGCCAAGGCTAAACGCATGCCTGAAAGAAACGGGACCAGCTGACAGGGCTGGCAGGCAGGGATGCAGGAGGCACAGGACTCCGAATAACTGCAACCATATTTCACGGCGAGTTAGTAAAATGCAAAATGACTTTACAAACTGCCTGGCCAACTAGAGAGATGGCTCCAGGGATGCACTTCATCCAAGAGCGGCACAGTGCCCTCCTCAGGAAGGAAAGCAGACACCAAGAGGCAGGAGACTGCTACAACCACCGCTCGAAAGCAAGAGCAGGCAGGAACACGGGTGCGCGTGTATGCACAGCGCGCATCTACAGTACGGGCCGTGTTTTGACCTCTGAAGTGGATTTGGAAGAGCGAAACAGGCCCCTCTGCGAGATCCCAGTGCCAGGAGCAGTTCTTGGTCCAAAGAGGCGTTGTGCTAACGTGCATCCCAGCTTTCTAAACAAAACCTTTCAGCTTTTCCAACAAGAACAGGTGGCACGGGGTGGATTTACTGCAGTCCATTACTCCAGTAAACCCACCGCTCCTTCGAAAGCAAAACACTAATTTCAGTCATTTTGGCATAACTGAAGACCAGATGCGGGTCAGAACACACTTACCATCTGCAGAGAACTTGTCAATAGCTTGAGTCAGGGTAAGAAAGTTGCCTGTGGATTTAGACATCTGAAAGAAACAGAAGAGCGTTTTCTCCCACATCCATTTTGTTTCTGGATAAGCAAGATGCAGCAGGGGTTTGGGCAAAGCACCGAGGAAGTATTGTCTCACAAATCAGGGCAACAGCGATGGGGAGATCTGAACGAGGTCTCTCGGTAAAAGCAGCCTACACAAGCACTCAACTGACCCTTGAATGTTGCCTTCAGACTTGCACAAGTTACTACTAAGCAGCAGGGAAGCGTCAGACAGAACAGGACGAAAAGTAGGTCTTGACCTCTGATGAATAAACAACTGGAGGGCACCAGTGAAGAACCTTAATTTTTCGCTATTTCCTCCTCTTAAATTCCAAGAAAGATTTTTTCAAGTGCCTACTTTGACAACCACAAAGCACCCTCAGACACGAACCCTCACTATACCTTTTCAGAATTAAGCAGGAGATGTCCATTTGCTCTCACAGCTACTGGCCATTTTTCTCTGTTTGAAGACAAGACACAAAGCATTTGGTAAGATAAACACGTTTTCTCTTTAAAAAACACGGAACAGACATTCTATGTCCTGCTTTGGGATGAGCACCTTCAGTGGAACCTTCAAAAACCTCCTACGGGGTGTCTTAGGGAGTGTGTTTGAGGATGGAAAGCACCCCAGTGTAAGGGCTAGGGATGATCACTGGTGAAGGCAAAGCAGGGAGTGCTGCACCTACAATTACACTTCATTTACCCCACTTCCCCCTGTTCAGCTACATTTAATTGAAGGGCCAGTGACTGGCACTGCCCAGCAGCTCTTGACACAGCCGAGTCCCACGTGTTCCCACCAGTGGGGAAGCAGATCTCAGATTCCACACGAAAACACGTAGCAGGAGCTATTTACAGAGACATTTGACTTCTCTAAAGCAGGCCACTGAAGGCTAAGTTAAAACTTGCTCTCCACTCTTACACATCTGGATTCAGCTGTAGATGCTGCTACTCCGTGTTCACTCCACCCCCAGAGGGAGAGAAAACCCTGAGACACCCCACTGCTGTTTTACACACACCCTAAGGAAGCACCAAGCCAAGGTCCCGTTCAGTTAGGACACAAATCCTTAGGCTTGCTCTGGAGCGGATGGAAACTGCCAAGGCAACCGTGCTACTGGCTAGAACCCCCATGGCTGGAACAAACAAGCCAACTACAAGTCATGCTATCAGCTGGATTCCAGCTCTGCTTTACGTGCCAGAATCTCACCTCTTTAAATCTTTAAAGGATTCTAGAAAAACCAGGGGAAGCAAGGGGGAAAAGCCTCCCATCTCAGTAGCTCCTGTAGCAGACAGCTGTAACAGCAGCAGTCCGAAGGCATGCGCTTCCAACCTAACGCTGAACGCCGTGCGCCCCAGAGCGCCCTCAGCGAAGGCACCAGAACTACCACCCCTCCGGGCTGACCTCCCGAGCCCCCGACCCGTGCCACCCCCGCTCACCTCTGCTCCGACCACATGGCCACGTGATTATAGAGGTAGTACGACAGATGGTTCGGGACAAGATCCTTGCCGGAAACTCTGAGATCCACAGGGTACCAAAATTCAAACTCCTCCTTTAGCTTGTCCAACTTTTCTTTTGGAATCTCGGTTTTAGGAAATGGAGCCGCCTTGAAGAAGATGTAATCCCAGACGTCTTTGGTCATTTGATACGCCCTGCAAGATCAGCCCCACACCGAGGGGTCCATAAGGGCTTCTCTGACCCCCCCCAGCGCTCTGAGTGAGGCACCTTAGAACTGCTGACCCCTCCGCACCACATCCCCGCATGATAAGCCCAGCAAACGCGGGCAAGGAGCGTGCAGGCATGTTGGCTATGGTCAGACGAGCCAGGCCAACACCAGAAGCAAATTCAGAACTCACAACGGGTCACGCCATGCCCTGCTTATAGCATCCCGTCAGATTTCCCAGTCAGGCATGAAAACTCCCCTACAGAATAACAGTTAAAGCATCATCTTGAGTGTCCTGGAGACCTGATTATCTCTCTTCTAAATGCTGCCCTCCCCGGCACCACTTGTGACCAGAACTGAACGCCTATTACCAGCTCCTAAGTTTCCCTGCCCTCCCCTACCCTGGGTCATGAAGCTATTTTACTTCCCACAGAAGTAAAAGAGCAGGAGTACAAGAGAGCGGCTGAACAATTCAAGGATCCTCCTACATGGAAAAATTAGCCTTTTTCCACTTGGAACGGAATTAATCCATTCAAAATTAATGTTTAATTAACGTTAAGACGCATTTTAACAATTACTAGAGGTAAGACCCACAATTCTGAATGCAAATACTGATGAGATGCAGCTCAGACCCACAGCTCAGACCCACAGCTCTGCAGGCACTGGCCTGCGCTGAATAAGATATCCTTGTTTCTGCAGAGACTTCCATTCCCACCTCCTCAGAATTCCAGCGGCGTCCAGCAGGTACCACCTGCACACATGTCAGACTGCACCCTTTCCCATCCAGCTTTCCATTCGTTAACACCAGCCGAGGTGCTCTGGCCCGTGCCACGCAGAGGAAGCGCGCTGGGTGCAGAGTACCCCCAGCACACGTTCAACAGCCAGCGCAAGCGGGGGTTGACACCACCGGTCTGGAACACTCTTACACGCACCAGTCTGCTGGTTTCGACCCGGTAGCTGCTGTTCTGTGCTTTGAATTACCGGTGCGCACCGTGACTTCGCTCCCACGTTTGGTGCCAAAGACAGCTGTAACCGGCCGGTGACTGACACGACGCACCACACCACAGATCCCCTCTCACTTTGCTAACACTAAGAGAGATGTTATCTACTCTCAAAGAGCAGGCTAATTGTATGTACCTAATTACACCTGATCTGTAATTCAGTGCTAAGGAAGCTCACTTCAGAGTTTGCTTCCAGGCAGGAGCAGTGCGCAGGCAGCCTCTCTGATCAGAGGTCTGAGCCAAAGGGAAACCTCGCCAAGCCCTTCAGAACTATTTCCGTTTGTAAGGATCTTCCCTTTGGAGGTGGTTTTCAGGTTAGTTATAGCATGGAGTAAGGTCAGTTCCAGTGTGTACACTACTCCAGGAGAGTCCATAAAACACGTAGAAGTAGGGCCCAAGTCCAAGGCAAGACTGGCAGTGGTTTTGCACTTCCGGGTGGGTTGTCCCATCTCAGCTCTGACGTCTGCCACTGACAGGGCACAACCACCACAGCCAAGGGGTCACAGTGCCTTCTCCGGGGGGATTTCAGTACAGGTGCCTCTCCTCCCTCTTACTTTGAAGACTCCCACACACAGAGTGTGGATAAAAGGTGGTTCTCTGCTCCCAGGGACACTCCCCCTCCCTCTGGCCACCACACTCCTTTCTCTTCCCTTATTTCCCTTCCCCAGATCTGCTGTAACTTGGCTAACAGCAGGCTCCGTTCTAACGACGGCGTTTAAACGCAGAGCAAAGAACCGGGCGATGAGCACACCAAATTAAAGAAGAAACCGTCGCGATTCACTCTCCTCACCCGATGCCTAGGGGAGATTCTCCCTGGCCCCTCAGGTTGTCCCCCTGTAACAGATGAGCCACGGTGTAATAGGCCATGTAGATCGTGGAGTCAGAGAGCGACTCTATCAGCCACTGCTCATCCCAAGGTAAGCGGGTGCCTAGGAGAGACGGAAGGCGGGTGTCAGGCATGGTCAGCGCCACCCCTGCGACAAGCGTGACCCTCAAGCACACCCAAGCAGTTTCTGGCTTTCAGTGGAACGAGAGGACTCACGCTTAAGCTTTTAAAAATCCTTTCTTCAAAAATTCAAATTACGCCTTGGAAAACCTCATTAAAGCGACAGCATTTGCTGGTTTTGAGGCCAGCTTCCTAACACAGCTGCCAGGCAAGTTTCGGCTCGTGCCGGTTTGCTGCGCACTCTGATGCGGCTGCAGCAGTCGTCCCATGTCATACACTACACACCACGAAGGCTAGTCAGAATTCAAGGACAACACTCCAGGAATGGGATTAGTTCCCTCTCTGAGGTCCCTTCCAAATGGTGGCCCAGGCAAAAAGCTGCAGAGATGCTGCAGACTCAGGCAGTAATGGAAAGATGAAGTGATCCCGGCCACGTGCGTTTCCAAGAGAGCGTGCCTTCTGTGGGACACCAGGTCAAGGTGTAGGTGGGATAAATCCGCCCTACACTTACCCACACCACTGTGGGCTCTAGACAGCACCTAAGGCTTCCAAATGAAGAGGCAAGTGCCATCCCCATGCATCAGTGAGGAAAGGAGTGGTTTGCCTACCTAAGCCGTACGTCCTGGAGCACGCGTGCTCTTGTAGCCAACCTAAAGTAGCTTCAAAGTTTCTCCTGGTCTCTTCACAAAACCTGTAATAAATAAGCTGTTACCAATTACCCTGCTCAGCCCTCAGACCACCACAAGCAGCAAACAGTCCTCCCCTTCACACCCGCTTGTAAAACTTACGTCTCTAGATGTTTCAAGCACTCTGATGCCTGTTTCTTCCAGTTCACTTCACCGTAATCTAAATACCTACAGGCAGGAAAAGTTCAGTGTAACAAAGCAATCCACAATGACAGAATTTGGCAGTAACTTTTGTAACTACAGCTTTACTTCGCTTACCACTGGTCGCAGAGGGCCACAACACACTCATCAGCAGACCTCGATATAACTTGTTTCTCAGGTTCCATATAGATCATGGCTTCATCCTAAGAGTTGAAAGGGCAATAAAAGTTAAGATTCAAGTTCTTAGCCAAGTCTTGAAAACCCTCACATCTCCCTAAAAAGCATCCTCTCCCTCCTAACCTGGTTTACAGCATCTGTTGCACGGCTTTCGCCACTGCACAGGCTCTCTGCACAACGAGAAGGAGGGCAGAAGCACAAAAGGTTACTCACTCCCTACACCCCCACGGAGTAAAACAACTATTAGAAAATCTGGGGGCAGCAGGGGTCAAGAAAAACGTAACCGTGAAGTTCGATCCTGCCTTCACAGACTACGGATTGTGATGCAGGACAAGACAGGATGGAGCGGTATGTGATAATCTGGACATAATGCTGCCAGAAAGGAATATTGACTAAACCGAAGCATTCCCGCTTCCGGGCCTCATCAGGAAAATCTTATTAGAGGGACGACATGATCACTGTTCCTTTACTCCTCTCCCTTCCTGCATGATGAGCCCCAGAAACGGGGTGTCTGCGTATCAGACACCCTTTGTTGGCAGGCTTGGAAGAGGCCACAACTCGGATCTTACATTTGCAGTACATTCCCAACTATATCCAAGATTAAATCCAACCACCACAGCATCTCCTAGACAAGGCGATGGGACGAAGCAGGAAATGAGGTCGCTAGTTAAGCTATTCATCCCACTTGGTCCAGGAACACGAGGTCCTTGAGCAGAATTTGGTAGCCCGCACTGTCCGCAGCATCAGCAGGAGGCCTGCAGACCCCAAGCAGAGCTGCTGTGAAAAAGTGGGAAGTCAGAAGAAGCTGAGTGCACACTACCACGTACATTATCCACCATCCGCTTCTGAATAACCTTCTTGACATCTTGAACTTTTTGCCCTTTTTGAACTTTTTGCACCTGGGTTAGGGCAATCCCAG